CTCTCTCTCTCTCTCTCTCCCTCTCTCTCTTTCTCTCTCTCTCTCCCTCTCTCCCTCTCTCTCTCACAGGGGTCACTTGCAGGTCGCTGTGACGTTGTGTTAGACAGACATTTTGAACTTATTTAAATAAAGAGTGGAATTAGTGTGGGAATATCCTTTAGATCTCCTCTTGTTTAAGTGCTAGATGTAAATATTGTATCGGCAGTCTCAACATGTTCACCACTTATTGCTCTACTCCGATGCTCCCCAAAAGCTTTATTAGTGTTTTATTATCATGGTCGTTGCCTGCCACCAACATGTTCAATTAGTAATGTAAGTAAGAAATGCTCGGTCTTTCTCTTCTTCTTTTGCCTTCTGATTCTTCACGGACACCAAGGTGTTCAAGGCCGGTCTGTCAGCTCAAGAAACCAATGAGCTGTAAACTGTAGATCTATTCAAAAGTTTATCTCCCTGCTTGTTTCTATTAGCAGACGTCCAGTTGTGCTGCGGCGCTAATTACCGATCGGTGCTATCTTAAGATTGCGCTGAGCGTTTTAACAACCGTATAATTGCGCGGCAATCTGAAGATTGCGTTAATATTTTCTATTTTTGAAATATTATATATTTTTAAAAATTCACTTCCATCTTTATTCTTTTACTCACTTCAAGGAACATTCACGTATATTTTCAAAGGAGTAAAAATTTGAAAATTAAAATATACATTACAATTGACACGTAAAACTGAAGAGCTCCCAAAAATGATGCAATTATTCGATCGTCAAAATGAGCAGCGCAATCTTGAGATTGCACCGATCAGTAATTAGTGCGGAACACTTATCACTGTGTTCTACGTCACGACTAAATCCTTAAAAAAAAGAAAAGTGGCCTCGTTAATCTATTATCTATTTGTGGTGGCCGAATTTTGCTATTCAATAGGCTTTTTAATGACTGCATCGATCGACATGTAGTTTTCGCCAAAAAGTTCTTTAAAATATTCTCCAGAGCATGGCGCCCTTGGTTTTTTCAGTTTTGAGACAGTTTTGCTGCAAAAGGCTACATTTCTTTATTTCACCGATCGCTTTTGTAGGCCGACGCTTCTGTCTCTGTAATTTTAGAAAATCCGAAAGTGATATTTCGCGAGGCGTATTTTGTTTTGAGAGTATAGATCTAGACCTTATAATTGTTTGCATCTCTCAAGATTTATTGCCCCATTCCAGTAGAGGATAAATATAGTAGGCCAATGACTTTTAGTTGATATTAAAGCACCGGCCTAGACGGTCAGAGAACGGTTAGTATAAGAACGTATAGGCACCGCCGATCATTCCTTTCATCGAAAGGGGGCCCAGCCAGTAATAATAATTTGTAGACATGGCATTCCTCGGAAAATGATGAACAAAATGTCATCTTGCAATGACGGAGATAGGTGACCAAATGCTCTGCGCTCTTTCTCTTCTTTTTTTTTTTTCAAATTGAGGATGATTAAACAATATCTCATTATGTCATGTTTTGCATTATCGTAATCCACTTTGTCTTCTTGTTGCTGTTCATTTCCATTTATCTGAGGTCGAGTTGACATTTCTTTTTCTGGGCTGATTTGGCGTGCAAGGTCTTCCTGCTGTTGTCATGTTCTTCAAACACACGTAGGAGGGAGCAAACCTCCATCATCATCATCATCATCATCATCATCATCATCATCATCATCATCATCATCATCATCATCATCATCATCATCATCATCATCATCATCATTGTTTGATAAGCAGAGTAGGAGGGAGAGTCTTGTTTGAATTTCTGACAAAATAACATAATGTGTCAAAACGAAGTGGAATCAGGCGCTCGTCATTTTTTTGACATATGGAATTATTGGTATCATCTTAAAG